AGAGAGAGAGAGAGAATGACACGCAGTGAAAGGCCACAGGTCAGACTTGAACCCATGGCCGCTGTACTAAGGACTCAGCCTTATTATATGAGGCATCAGTTCTAACAAGGGATATGAGATATCCCTATGGTCAGATACATATTATGCCAAAATAGAGACAACCTTATATAATCTTATAAACGGTTTCACCAAATAAATGGGAAATCATAAGCAGTCTGTCTTTGGGTGCAGATTTGCGGTCATGTGAGTTAATTTCCTGACACTCTGAACCATCATTACCGACATTACTGAGGTCAAACTTTCCATTTGCTGAGCTGTCGTTATCACGTTTCTGTGACTGGCACAGATGTTTTAGAGCTATGAGACCAGTGATGTGACTGGCTGAGAGAGTATTTAATAATCACCTTACCCACTGATCTTTATTAACCTTTCCCCAGTACTTTTCACATACATGAAGCAAAATAGAAGGTGTGCACGAATTGCCAACACAGTGCCGGCGCCTGTGAGACCTACCACCTTAATCACATTTCAACTGAACATGCAAAATTTTAAACTCTGGTGTAATGGATGCTTTTACTCCCTCGTAGAATTAGGCCTGATCATTCCAATTCACGCATTGGTAATCTCCAAACATTAAATTGGATAGTATAAAGCAGATTGCGCTACAAGAGTTGTAAACTTTGTATTTCATTACGTAGATTCAGTCAGTAAAATGTCCTCTTCCTAATGGCAGGCCTAAGTCCAAATATTAAGAAAGTTTCTCATTATTTTGAGGTGATGATCCTTTTTGAGATACTATGTCACAATATTGAGTTTCTCATTATTTTGAGAAGGTTTTAGATTATAATGACTAACATGACTTTTTCCCCCCATCAAATTAGCAGAAATGGGCTTCCATAACTGGGTGTTGATGGTATTTATGAGCAACAAGTCATGCCTTTGCCATGATTTTTGGGGGTTACAGTCCGTAGTCCAACAGGTATCCTCCACCAACATACATCTTGTCTGGCTCTTAAGAATATCAAAGACATGGCCTTCCATCGAGGCTCCCGAAACAATTTGGGAAGTCCCATAATCATTACACCCTGCACATCTTTGTGATAATGACTGAAGTGCAGTAAGTGCAATACAGGGGCCAATTTTGAAACTGCTGAGTTCTACCTTTGCAAGAAACCTCAGGGTGATTGCTGACCTCTGGCTCAGATCATGGATCTATGTAGATTTGTGGATGATAAACAGTATCTGTGCACCAACACAAAAGAAGAATGCAAGTGCATTTCTTTATCCATTTATCACATTGAGGTGTTACCTGGTTTCACTTACCATGTTCTTCTCCGGTGCAGTAATGCCAGAAAAAGTTGTATGTTTTGTTAAAACATTTCCACTGTAATCCTTCTCCTAAATGCCATATTCCCAGTGTGACTGTAGAACATGCCTAAATGACAGAATGCCCCCTGGTGTTAGTAGGGTCCTACAACAGTCAACAGCAAAAATCAACACTGAAGAAGAAATCCAAACTTTGTATTTATGAGGAGACTGCCTTCAAATATACTATTCCAAATGACAATTGCTGCTTTTGAAAAAGCTCCCTGCTGGGGGGATATCTGTGGTTTTTAAACACATTACAGTTGTTATAAATGACAAACTGAAGTAACAAACATCTTAGTCTTTTAGTACATTTTATTTTACAAAAAGATGTAATGGCAGTTTAACATTGTGAACACAGAAGTATTAATAACCCAATAATTTTGTTTGAACAAATATCTTTGACAATTAATAGTTTAAAGTTGTAAGGTGTAAGCTTTTTAGAGCAACTGGTAGATCTATTTACTGTACAATCAAGCAAACTCAAGTTGATTGAATAAATGACAATGAGCTTCATTTAAATAGCAACACAGCGATGGCAGCAGGCTACCATGCAAGGTGCTGGTCTGACCAATGAGGGCAATTTGGGGTTTAGTGTATATGTGGGTGCTGGGGAAATAAGGTGTTTTTTGAAGACTAAAGCACATAAACCTATTACAGTGGACCCCCCAAACAAGAGTATGAACCTGAAAATTAGTATATTATGATATGGCCTCTTTTCAACCTCAATTAGTGCTAACAGTGATGACAACACACTGGGTTTCCTGTGGCTGCTTCACAATAAAAGCTACTCCACGTTGAATGCTATGAAGCAGTGGCGGGGGAATTATACAGCTCTTATACAACTTAATACAGCTGTTAGGCTGTTTTCAATGAGACAGGTAGGCAGTCTGAATCCAGTATGGGAGTGAGAAAATCCACTATTGTCTGAGCTGTTTTGTTTTATTCCTACATTCAGTCAGAGCTCTCACCTTCATCAACACAACGATGTAGCTTCAAAGAACTTGGCCAAGCAAACAATCTTTTACATCGAGAACACCAGTATGGTTTCTCTCCAGTGTGGCAACGCAGATGTTTCTTGCACTCACTTAAGACACGGAAACTCTTCCCACATTGTTCACATGGGAATGGCTTCTCCCCAGTGTGTATACGCAGGTGTGTCTTGTAGTAATTTGGGCAACTAAAACTCTTCCCACATTCTTCACAGCGGTATGGTTTCTCTCCAGTGTGGACACGCAGGTGTTTCTTGTAAACATTTACGAAACGGAAACTCTTCCCACATTGTTCACACTGGTAAGGCTTCTCCCCAGTATGGATGCGCAGGTGTCTCTTGTAGTGACTTGGGCAACTGAAACTATTCCCACATTGTTCACAGCGGTAAGGCTTTTCTCCAGTGTGCACACGCAGGTGTTTCTTGTAATCACTTAAGAAACGAAAACTCTTCCCACAGTGTTCACAGCAGTATGGCTTTTCTCCAGTATGGACACGCTGGTG